GTTCTAGTGTGGGATTACTCATCAGCGGTCATTTGTGATCCACCATACAGACTCGGACTTAAGAACTTTGGAGTCACTAATGAACACTAATGAACGATTACGTAGTTAATTTAATAATTTTACATTCATACGTTGGTACGTAGGATACATAGACGATACATTTGTCAATTGTGACGATGATATTAAACTAGCAGATATTTTACAGTCCTTCAACATATGTCATCCTTCGATAGACTTCACGTTAGAAAATGAGCGAAGCCAGTCAATCTCTTTGCTTAATGTGCGTCTGATGAGGATTAACAGTTCCCTGAAAAGATCCATGTTTAGAAAACAAACATGGAATGACCAGTCAACCCACATCTGTAGCTGGGTTCTTTTAAGCAGAAAGAGAAATCTTATTCACTCTTTATGCCACTGAATACTTCGAATATGTGGTACAGAATAAATTGACGAAGAACTCGCATTTTTCTGGACAACTGCAGAAAAATGCTATACAGACCGTTTTATAGATAAGAATATGAAAAGTTGTAACAGGGGATCCGGTTGTTCAGTTCTAAAAAAAATCTTTATCTAAGTCCAAAATTCAAAGCGGGTCAAACACTTGACATAATAAAAAATCCTTTAACGGCAGCGATAAAAAGAACATTTTATGTGGCAAAACTGCGAATAACATTCACGGGTATCTATAAAACATAAGTCCCCCCGTCTGGTTGGCTCCATGTGTATCTACCAGTTTACCTACCCTTGTGGAGTAAGGTACATGGGCCGTAGCCAGTGCTAGCTTTCAACGCGGATACGAGAACATGTCGCAGTTTGGTTCTACGAGGGTTATGGGAAAGCAGTTAGAAGTTCCATACTTGAACATCTGATCGACTCTAATCATTCTACTGATCCACAGGTTGATTTTAAGGTTATATATACTGTTCGTCCAAATCTACCTAGATTTTTTCGTATCCAACTCCTTAAAATAGCAGAAGCTCTCACTATTCCTGAGCTCAAGTCAAAATTGTGAGTACAAAAGAAGTACGTACTATCTTTACCGCTACCCCAGTCTTAATTTATTATTATTGCATTTCTCCCTTTCCTTATGCCTCATATTCTCATTATTTGGTTCATAATTGCTGATGATGTCACTTCATTTATTTCACACCTCTTTTATCTTTAATTGCCTTTCATCAGATTGCTTAGAACAAAATCTTAAGTACGTTTTATTTATCTAAAGTTGATGTCATCTGGGAAGTCATGAAATATTATTCAAAATCTTAATTATATTTATAGTGCATTTCCTAAAAGACACTGAAGTTGATTATTCAAGAAAAAGTACGATGAGTTTAATACTGTAAAACAGATATTAATTCCTATTTCCAACTCTGAATAACCACTTGACTACATCTATTTTACTAGAATTGAGTAGGTATTACATGATTTAGCGTCACATATCTCATGATTGAATAATCTTTAGGAAAATATATCAAATGGAACTATAGGTCATGTGTTCATTGACGCTGAAAATATCAACAAATCAAAATTAATTTAGTAATTTAAAAGGGACAGGCCTCGTCAAAGAAACACACATCACTTATGTTCGCTATAGTAAAATAAATGAGTGCGAAACGTTTGAGAGGCATTTAAAGAAAAACATTTAGCAAATCAGAATTAAATGTGAGGGTTTACATTAGCTTCTCATTTATGTAAATTACCGAACTTTCATCAGTTTTATCGAAGTATGTGAATCGCGAGCAGATGATTCGACTTGGGCGTTTTTCTTAATGTATTTGAACTGTGATTAGTTATGGAATTTAAAAAGCGCAGTTCATCCTGTTTGAGGTAAATCGGCTGATTGCATATGAATTTCAGTGTTGATTTTCTTACTGACACTTAAGTGCATTACTTTTCACATAAAACGCCGAAATATTATTTACTCATCTACTGAATCCAGTTAGTCACTAACTTGTTTTATCTAGTATGAAATTACTTGTCAGGATTTGCCATTTTCAATTGTTGAATTTAAGACTTCGATCGATCATCCTCCATCTCCATATTTACATTCTGAGCGTATTGCCGCGAATATTACTACTTACCAACAAGTAGTAACTAGTAGGAAGCTATGCTTATTGGAGTCGGTCAAAATACTCACTAATGATATTTGTTAGAGATCTTATTTTATCACATACTGATTGACGGCAAAATAATATGAAATAATTAAGGTGTCATTTTCTCCACGATACATCACTGTAAAACAAATATGTATATATAGGCTTGTCATATCTTGGATAAAACATATATCTCTATTCATCCTTTTGTTTGTTTATATTTGAATTTTTTAGAAATTTAAATGAGAACTTAACAAAATCAGAACATTGTTTAAACGGGAATTCAACTGAATACATTTTGGGCAACAGTTAACGGAAAAGCCAACAGGATTAACTATCATCATCATCACACCACCATTACAGCGTATCAAAATCTATATTTGATTATTTTAACCACACAGTTTAACTTAGAAGAATAGACGTCAATTAGTACTTGGTGTAATTTATTTATTTTAAAGTACATACAATACCAAATGCGTGTACGTGAAAATAAAATCATAAATTTTCAAAAAGATCGATTTGTTGATAAACTGATTTCAAAACTTTTTTACTCTTTTGATTTCAATGTTTTTTTTTTCATTAGGAAAATATTGAGAATCAGTTATATGTAGAAAACAACACTCTCTTACATACTAATTGATCACTGGGTAATAATCAGTCTTATATTTGTCTAATTCAAGATGTTGAATCACTTACATTGATAGAGTTTAATCAGCACTGACGATCAGAGGAACAAGATGTCGATTACTACTCATAAATCATTCAGTACAAATGACTTATTTCTGAAAGAGGTCTCTCTCTCAGCTTTAATGATTTGATTCTGATATTTCTGAATGTATTGTAGGTTCTTGAATCTTACATAAGACATTAACTTTCTTAAAAGCACAAATAAACCATACTAATGAACTCCAATTCGAATATGAATTAGACCTAAGGTTTTCTGTTAATTTCTTCTAACTACGTTCGACTCATATTTTCGTATATAAATCATTTTGATAAATAAGTACTATTTATTGAAATTATTGAGATCATGAGTCAATTGAAGCTAGACAACCATGGAAAACCTGGAAGCACTGGACGGCTGTTTAGTCCTAATGTGGGATTCCTCAACAGCGCGCATCCACGATCCCACCTCTCGGGATGTGTCGCTCAATTTCGTGGATTAGTTGAAGTTAGACATTTACACCGTTGGATGCCGGCTCAGTGGTCTGGTGGTTAAGTGCTCGCGCGCAAGACAGATAGGTCCTGGGTTCGAATCCCGCGGGGGCTGGATCGTAGATGCACACCGTTGAGGAGTCCCACAATAGGACGAAACAGCCGTCCAGTGTTTCCAGTTTTTTCCATGGTGGTCTAGCTTCAGTTGACTCATGATCTCAACAGTTGAAATTACTAAAATCTCCACCAAAACCCCTTCTGATACTATATATTGATAAGTAATATTATTGATTACCGACAATATAAGATATACATTATTGGTTTGACTTGTCACTAAAATTAATTCGATATTTTTTTTACCAATAAAAGAAAATTATAAAAATCTCTCGATAAATAATTATGATAATTATGCATTTCAATCATAGATCAATTTAATATTGTCTAGAAAATTCTGTTTAAATCCCAATAATTTGCATACAGTTGAAATGAATTTAACTAGATAGAGGAGAATAGAAAAACAAAACTCCATAGAAATAATTATTGTTTCCAAAATAGATTAATATTAATCAATCGATCTTTTTAGTAGATAGGAGCATATCAATATCAAATATTTTCATTATTTTTTTATTGGTAAAATATTAACTAAATGAATTGGATGATTAAATTTGTATTCATGAAAAGAAAATATGAATTATCCAACAACGAAATTGATCCCAATGCTAAATAAGTGAATTTAAACTTCACCTAATTGCACAAGCAAATTGTTATCAGGACTTAAAAGTTAATGGAATAGAGTTTGAAGAGAATGGTCCCGGAGTAAACATCAACTCTGAGATGCAGGTACATCCAGCTGATGAATTCAAAATAGGATGAAACGCGCGTCCTGGAGTACACTGCTAGCCCCTATCCATCTCTGTGTTGGGGTATTCAGAAAATACCCCAGAAATTATCTAATGCTATTCCTGCATGAGAAGTAGTGTCATTTCCCCATTGGTCAACATTCTTCCAACGTGTCATCTCCTTATTGGTCAATATTTATTTGTGTCATTTCCTGAAGGTTAAATCTTGTACAATGTTACTTTCTATTTATGGTACGATGTAGTCTGTTTGTTTGGTATATAAACAGTGTATGTTTGAAATATAACGATTCATATCTCCGAGGCTGAGACTTGTGTTCTGGACTCAATTGGCTGGGCTAGACAGGGAAGCAGGACCAATCAGGACTCTAGGCTGCTCGCTCGTATTCTGTGCGTCACTGTTCCGATCGATAATAGGCTGCTCTCTAATAGGCGGATCACACGTTATAACACTCTGCCTAAATAAAGACAGTTTAGTGACAAAATTTACTCACGTTGCGTAATCAAATTTATAATCAATACGAACATCATCAATAGATTGTGTTTAAAATTATGACTACCAAGTAAATTTGGCTGTTGCTCAATACAGTTCTCAAAAAGAAATAATGTTCAACACAGACTATTAATCAAGTTCTTTCATAGTGTTATAACTTGCCTCTACCCCACTATTATCATATAAACCCAGTCCTACACTGAACAAATCTGTTCATATTCTGTAGTCCCAAAAACATCAGGAGTCACAGATCTTTCTTTAAATATCAATTCTCGAACTGTTGATCCTCGTACTACTCTGTATATCGATCGTATTCCCTGGAAACTTAATGACGCGGATTAAATTCGTGAGCATTTTGCTCAATTTGGTCATGTAGTAAACGTCATTGCTAGATACAAGGGCATGGTAGGGTCCGCAGTGGTTGAGTTTTCTTCTTCAGATGAAGCTGAGAAAGCCTATCGAAGCCAAATTCCTATGTTTTTAAATAGATTTATTCGGATTTACACTCGTGTTCCAGAAAACTTCAAACACTATGCTCGAAGTGTGACTAGTCCTTTTCCTCGTCCCAAGAGTATACTGGGTCGTTTAGGAACACGACCTGTTCCTGGAAATAGCAGAATTAATTCAGGTTCATGTATGAGTATGACTAATGACTGTATAGAAAATCAACAAGTTCCTGGCAGCATTCTTCCTGATGATACCCTCCAAAGGGGTAATAGATCTCGTTGGTGTTTAGAACGTAATCGAACTAGTGGAGATGCCTTATTATCTGGTGATGAAGAAGACGATTTAATTGACGAAAATCCTACCATAGATAGTCATGAACGAAATTCGGCCACTTTCATCAAAGAACGTAGTAAAGCCTTTAATCAAAGAATTGATAATGTAGTAGATAATTCTGTTGATGAAGAGTCATTATTATTTACTCGTAATTCTGATACAGCAAGGCAATTCAATAATAATAGTAATAATATAACTGTTACGTCAAGTCCTTGTACTTTGTCGCATAAACAAGAGGCTGAGGCAATTCTTTGAGAGCGTCGTAAAATGGCTTCATTGAGACAACATAAAGAACAACTTAGCTTTTAGATAAGTCTCGTCAAGCCCGAGAATCAGTTATTGAAGCTCGGAAACAAAGAATTACTAAACTGAAGTTGCTTCTTGAAAGAGTGATGAGTCAGTTGGAAAATAATCGTACTAGCGAAACAGACAATTGTACAGATTCGAAACCACTGACATTGGATGAAAGACGGGGATTTTGGAAAACATTCACAAGATATAACAACTGGCGACGGGGATTTCGGAAAACATTCACAAGATATGACGTAATAAAAAGATTATAATACTAGATTACGTAATACGAATAATAACAAACACGATGTTCCCCTTAGACCTATCCTATCAATGATCAACTCACCGTATCACAAAGTTGCACTCTGGCTAGCAGAAAAACTAGAACCGGTCCGTCGGAGATTAGCAGCATATACGTTAAAAGATTCATCCCAGTTTGCTGATAGACTAAATCGTACGAATGTTGCCAATAAGTTCATGGTTTCTTTTGATGTAACATCCTTGTTCACCAATATACCACTTCTTGAAACTATTGATATAATTTGTCAGAACTATGATCTCCTACCTTTACCAGCCCCAGAATTCAAAAAACTACCATTAATGTGCACAACAGACGTTCAATTCCAGTTTAATAACAACATGTATCGTCAAATCGATGGCGTAGCAATGGGAAGTTCATTAGGCCCAATTCTGGCAGATATTTTTATGGGGTATCTTGAAAACATGGTGCTTAAACAGGTGATTAGCAAAACGACGGAATATTCCAGATATGTTGATGACACGTTTATTGTCTGTAACAATAAACAGCATGCAATCCGCTTGCTAAAACTCTTCAATAACGCTCATCCTAACATACAATTTACTATGGAACACGAACAGAATGACACGTTCCACTTTCTTGATGTTGCTATAAAACGTAGGAGAGATGGGACAGTCCAACGTTCACTTTATCGAAAAAAGTACTTGGAACGGCCTTTACCTGAATTTCAATAGTTTTTGTCCACTCAGTTACAAGAAGGCATTAGTTAAAACACTATTTCATAGGGCAGAAAGGATATGTACCACTGACAAACTGGAAGAAGAATTGATGAACGTGGAAAAATGCCTAAGAGACAACTTTTACCCACAAAAGTTTATTGACAAATATAAAAAGCGTAAAGAAAACAATACTGAAGTAATTACGGTTAATAAGAAACCAATAACTATAAATCTTAACTTCAAAGGTGATGATGTTGCAAACACAATAAACAGGAGACTGAATACTACGCTAGCCAGAACTTATCCGGCGGCCAAACTTCTAATTCTGTATAAAACAACATGTTCAATAACTCAATCAAAGGTTGATAAGCATCCTTTTCATGTTACCGCCAATTGTATTTATAAATTTACGTGTACCTGCCAAAGCAGCTACATCGGCCGAACAGAAAGGAGAGCATATCTCAAATTTTTTGAACATGTTCCAAAAAGCCTCAGAACAAGAGAAAGAAAGACTTTAAATAGTGCAATCACCAAACATCTCCTTGATACAGGACATCAGGTCGATACCCTACAATCGTTCAAGGTGATTAATAAGCAGCCAAACTCCAGTCTTCTGAAGTTTGCTGAAGCAGTTGCTATCAGACGCCAAAAACCTGATTTATGTGTTCAAAAGGAGATGGTTATTAATCTTTCCTTGCCTTGGTGACTAATATTCCTTCGCTGTATCTCAATATATATATATATTTTTTTAATATTTTTTTTTCGTTTTCTTTGAACTCTTTCTTGCACTTATCACATCATTGAGTTTTATTCCAACTATCTTCCAAAAAATTTTAAATCTTATTTTTATCAACTGAACTCTACTCAATTTTTTTCCCATCAATGTTTACTTGTTTCTAGCCCTTTGAACCGTTGTCACAATGTTCTTTTATATAAGGTATATATTTACAGTATTCAGTCTATTAAATTTATTTACACCCTCGCTATACTATACGAATATGCCTTCAATATAACTTCCAATCAAACTTTTTCATGTAAGTAATTTAAATCCATTATGTAATTATAATTTTAAGTATCACAGGTTGTAAGCAGCTGACGAGAACCAACGAAATAAAAATGAATTCATGCTATTCTGCTAGAATGTTTGTTCTTGATCTTTTCAAAATAACAATAAACTTAGTGAATATAATAAGATGATTAAAATGTTTTTGTTATAATAATTAAAGGTCATAGAGGTGTAAAATAAATAAATAAGGTAATATGATGAGTATTTACGAATAAAATCGATGGGAATATAAGACATAAGTAAAGGGGGAATGCAGTAATAATAATAATAATAATAATAATAATAATAATAATAATAATAATAATAATAATGGGATAATCAAAATAATTAAGGCCAAGGTAACTATAACAATAAGACGTACTTCTTTTGTACGCATAGTTCTGGTTTAAGCTCCTGAATGGTAAGAGCTTCGGCTTTTTTTAAAAGTTGGATACGAAGAAATCTGGGCAGATTTGAACGAATCATATAAACAACCTTAAAATCAATTTGTGGATCTGTAGAATGGTTACAGTCGATTAGGTGTTCAGGTACAGAAATCCTAACTGCTTTCCTTTCATCCTTATAGAACCAAACTGAAATATGTTCCCGTTCATAAGATATAACAACTGGCGACGGGGATTTTGGAAAACACTCACAAGATATCACACATAGGTTCTCAGTTTTTAGTTAATCACCACAGTTTAAAGACAATGGATGACTGATTGAAACAAATTACTCAGTAGCAACCTTAACAATAAAAATAGCGCTGAACAGAAGTCACAATGAATGAAAAACATGATTTTGTCTTTTCATCCTGTTATATCAAATATCATGATTCATGCGTTCAGTCTACCTATCGATTGATTAAAATGTAAAACACAATCAAACTGTAGACAACTTAAAGTAATAGATTATTTTGAAAAACCAGATTTTAAAAGTGGTTAGTACCACTTACGTTTACATACCATACTTATCCATTCTAACAAATGTAAACGACTCAAACTAATGAACGGTAATATTTTATTTTAGAGATGAAAAGTGATTTTATTTAAGAATTCACCAAAAGAATGTCTTAACGGTTTAGACATACTATAGTTTCAGTGGACGCATCAAAGATTTGAATTCCGTTAAATCCACCCTGATTTTAAAGCAGTTGGATAATTTATTCGGGTCACAGTCAAATCATCAGTAATCTTTAAGTTGAAGTTTAGTACTGGTTACTACCATACATTCTAACTTTGGTAAAGCAGAGAGAATACGATAGATACTTGTAGCTTGAGGAGTTAATGTAAGAGCTACTTTAACCATTGTTCACAAATGATTTACTATCACACATAATTAGAAGTTAAGTGAAGTAACACAAGTAATTAGAAAAATGCACCTTAGTAAACATATTTAATGACATGTTAAACTTTATTGAATCACTTTATATATCTAATAGAAACAATAATTTAATTAAGGGATGTAATTTATGCACAAAAATGCTTAGGAAATATCTTATGGTTTTTTCAAGTCATTAAATTTGAATAGTACCATTTCTACCAATATTTATCCAAACGAAGTAAAAGGTTTTGTTTCTATTTTCATTTACTCTACAGAAGCATAGATTGACAAATTTTAGCATTAAGCTTTAGATATTCATTAATATTTTGTTAGTTACTATCCCATTAAATCTAGCATGAGTTGTTGCTGTCTGTATAACGTTATCCACGATATCCGCAGGTAAACTCACTGATGGCAATGGTGGATATGTCGCTCAATTTCGTGGATTAGTTGAAGTTAGACATTAACATCGTTGGATGCCGGCTCAGTAGTCTAGTGGTTAAGTGCTCACGCGCGAGACAGATGGGTCCTGGGTTCGAATCTCGCGGTGGGGTGAGATCGTGAATACGCATTGTTGAGGAGTCCCACAATAGAACGAAACGACCATCCACTGCTTCCAGGTTTTCCATGGTGTTCTAACCTAAAATGACGCATGATCTCAACCATTGAAATTAGTATAATGTCCACAAAACCTCTTCTGATATTAATACTAATTTGTTAAAATTGTTTCAAATCTGATTTTACCGGTAATATAAGCTGGATCTACAGAAGGAAATTAGTATATCTCTTTCACTTTGGTGTATTAGGGAAGATGATATTAAATAAGTATCAGTGCTGGTCACAGTTTATTAGTCATTTTTGACATAAATTTAATAGAAAACGAAAATACTGAATCATTTGAATCCAATAATAAACCGATTTGTTCACTGCTATTCCTGACAACAGGATGTGAGATGTTTAGCTTGATTATTTTCAAATTAAATCTAAAATTGTTATTAATAACATGATATAGTCGAGGCAACTGATTTCGTGGTTATGTTGTTGAAACTATCGAGTTATCAAATGATTCAAAGCTTCACCCATTCCTTTGAAAATTGGATTAATTTACTAACAACAATTTACTTTTCTACAGCTGTGCAGGACATTTCTTCGTTAACCACCTTAATAATTGTTATTATGAATTAATGAAACATCATATTTAACTACGTTAATTTAAGTAACTAAGTAATATTAACACCTTTCATACAAATAATGTCACTAAAAGCCAATTACATACAAATTTCCACTTGATAAATGAGTTATATTATGGTAAAAGTTTACTTTATCATATCATGTAGAAGCGAAGTTAAATATCAGGTGGATTTTGAGCAAAATATTTCATGCACTCTTGTTTTTCCATTAATTAAAAAAAGACCCTACTTAAGTCAGATTATCCACTTATAACTATGATGAGGACTGTAAATTTATATTTAATAGTCACTTAGTTATACTTAATAGAAACAAAAAATATATCACTTGTTTACATGCATAATAACACTTAATAATTATGCAAAAGTTGTTAACTTTTTCAGTTGTATTTAAACTTTTTATTGTTTGTTGAAAACTCTTTGTCAGTATC